TGAAAAGCCAAAGAGGTTTACATTTATTTTCCAGATGTTTAGTTACTAAAAATCGTGTTATTCACAATGCTGAAAAATATCACTAACTTATAGCTCTAGATAAGGAGGCCAGGTGGCATTTTGGGTTACACATTGCCTGATAACCACAAACTCAGCAGTTCTAAGCCACCATCTTCTCTGAGAGAAAAGGATGTGGTTTCATACTCCTGCAAAGATTTACAGCTTCGGAATCCCGTGGGAGCAGTTCTATCTTGTCTTATCGGCTCACTATGAATCACAACGGACTCAAGGACAGTGAGTTTGATACCGCTAGACAATTCTTTAGGCAAATTAGTTACCTAAAAACACACACAATTATTTCAAATTTTCTTGGTTATTGTTTGAAGGTTTTGGCTGCCTCATTAATAAATCTGAATACATTGACAACGTTTACAACATGTACCCAAGCTAACAAACAGCAATAATATAGAGAAAATATTAAACTCTGACTATAATGGTGACGTCGGCATGTATTTATCCTATATTCTTCATTTTGAAATTTCTCTATTGGACCACATAAAGACAAGGTCTAAATGTGAGGGTTAAGTTTAGTTAAAATTTTGCAATAAATAAATGTATTTAACCAGACAAGTGTATTATCTCAAACTTCTAAATATTCAAGATCTCTGCCATCAACTCTGTTCTGACTCAGAGCAATCTTGTAAGACAGGGTAGAACTGCCCTGGTACGTTTCTAGGACTAACTCTTTACTGGGAGTTGAAATTCTCATCTTCTTTCGCACATAATGGCTAGTGGTTTCCAACAGATGACCTCGATTTTGCAGTCCAAAGCATAACCCACTATGCTACCAGAGCTTCCAATGTATTCTTAGAAAACTAAAATATTCGTATAGACAAATACTATCATCAAAACTTTAATGAGATATCAATCAACATCCATTAGGATGGTCATAAGAAAAAGAGAGGCAATAACAAGTGCTGTCATAGAAGTGAAGCAAGTGGAACATCTATTAAGTGTCTGATAGGAATGTAAAGTATAGCAGCATTGAAAAATACATCACCTAGTCTAGAAGGTTAGATGTGAAGATATCATATATCCCAGCACTTCTACTGCTAGGTATATCCCAGAGAAATACATCCTATTCAAATACATCTGTTCATTGCAGTATTATACAGAATACACAAAAGAATTCAACAACCCAAATGCTTACAACTTATCAATAAACAAACAGAATGTGGCATTTTCATGTAATAGGATATATTTTGGCATAAATAAAATACTGATCAATAATCAAAATGTATTAAACTTGAAAACATTATGTTTAATTAAGTAAACAAGATACAAAAGACCACATATTGTTTGAATTTACTTATATGGAAATCTATATACACAGAAAATCTATTTATATGTCAATCCATAAAGTCAGTCAAAGATGGGTCAAGGGGAAAAAAAGAGTAACCACTAGTGGGTAAAAGATTTATGTTTCCACTGAACAAAATGTTCTGGAATTATATAACAATTCAAAGGTTTGAGAATCGACTTAATTACTGCACATTTTTCATGTGATATGTATTATATCTCAAATAATAAACCCTCTGTAATAGTCCATATGATCACCCAATCTAAAAGCAAAATTAAAAACACTGTCAACAAATTAATTTCAATTCAAGTGACTGTAAAACAGAGTAGAATTGCCCCTTTGGGTTTCTGAGACTGGAAATATTTAAGCGAGTAGACAGCCTGTGGAAGAGTTGGTGGGTTTGAATGGCTGACCTAGCAGTTGGCGGTCCAGTTCACACACACCCTAGGCCACCGGAGCTCCTGTGATCACCCTTAGAAACCTAATAGTTGGAACCTTATACTGAACATTATGAGTAGGAATCTACCGTGTGGACGTGAGTTTGAATGATGACTCTCATACATAGTATTATATTTAATTTTTATATGTTTCATACTGAAACTAAACATCAAGAGAGTTTCCAAATATTCATCCTCACACCTGATGCATGGTGTTGCACACTTTGGAGACACATACTTATAAAAGTAAACTTTAATATGGCAATCGATTTGATAACACCTAGCAACAACAGCAGCAGCCTGGTAAACACAATATTTCATTGGCTGTTACAGGCCTGTCTTCCAGAATCGTCTCTGACAATGGCTTCCCATATGTGTAATCATGTAGTCACACGGAAAATAAGCCATTACTCAATGGCCACTCCGTGCTCTTTTATGGACCCTTTCACAAGCCACTCCGTTTCCGGGAGTGCGTGACCTCATCTTCTCTGCGTCAGCAACTCCTCAGTGAACTCTCACGTCTTTTATGAAGGTTACCGAACCTCCAGTCGAACTCAACTGCTCCCGCTTGGCACATCTGTTTAAAGTCTTGTTTGAATATTCGTTTTATTAAATTGATGTCTTTTCATTTATTTATTTCATTAAAATATAATATCAACTAAACTCTTATTCAAAATTCTGGAAGTTACATAACTTCATGTCAACGTGAAGATATTTAGAAGTATACGGTTGGGATCTAACCTGTAAATCGTGTCTCAGCCTGATGGTGCCTCCTTGAGGGTGTGGCCTTCTCATAGGGAGGGCCTTGGGACCCAACCCTTTTCGCGGCCTTCAACTTCCTGCTGGCTGACCCTGATTGCTGCCAGAGCTCTGTGATGCATCCACAGCCACTGGATCAACAAACTTTGCACCCACCAACCTGTGATCTTCCTGCATTCTGTTTCACTGCTTGTGACTGCGTGAGTCTGAAGAGGGCGTGGGGATCAGATTTACGGACTTTAGTTGGACTGGGCTGGGATGTTTTCTTGATATGAAATTAATACTTGATATATGCTCTTTCTTACACATATAAAAATGTCACTTGGTTAGTTTCTCTAGTCAACTCAGACTAATACAAAGTCAGTAGAAAAATATAAGCGAAATGACTATGTGGACATATAAATAATCCAATAAATATATTCTATCATATCTACACAGAAAATGGGAATAATATTCATTTGTTTTCATAAATAACTGTAGAAATGAAATCAGCAACAAACAAATTAAGACAAAAATACGTAAAAGAAAAAATACCAACTGCAAAATGCAGCATCTTCATAGGCATTTGGGATGATTTAATAATCTTATGTCACTTATACTTAAATCAAAGAGAAAGATCTAAATCACTTGAAATTATGAATAATAATTTATAGTGGATAACAATTATATCAACAATTTAAAGTTAAATTAATGTAAATAATTTTAATATACCAAATGACATTAAGCAAATTGATTATCCTAATTTCTTTCTTTATTTTTATTTTTTT